TTGAAGAATTTTATCTTGACATGAGTTCTCCTTTAATTGTACATCTTTTTCATGCTGACATCGTAATGCTATGTTCTGGTCTTGTAATTCTTGAATCTCCAATTGATGCACTTTGATATATCGTTTCTTATCATTTTCCATGTTTAGTAATTTCATATTGAAATCCTGTTCCATTTGCTCAGCATTCATTTTCAAATCTTTCAATTGTTTTTGATGATTTTCTTTTACAGTTAAAAGCTCAGATTGATATTTATTTTGAATTTTTTCACTTTTATCCATAGCATCTTGTAGCTGATTTTTCAATGTATACGTTAATTGCTGAGTTTCTCGTAAAAGTTGCTGATAATTAACATTTTCATGCTTGCATTGATTAAGTTCATTCGTTAGCTCGGCTATATCATTATTCAATTGAATTGATTTACCATTTAATTCTTGCTTTAAATCTTCAACAATACCTTGATATTGCTTTTTTATTCGGTTATTTTCAGTATTAGCATTTGTTAATAATAGTTGTTGACTATCTAAGTCACATTTCATTTGATCAAGCAGGCTGGATAGTTTTAACATTTTTAAGTCGTATTCAACTTTACTTTCGTTCAGTTCATCCTTTAGCCTGGCAATAGTAGTATCATATTGGCTTTTCATTTGATTTGTAGTAGTATTACTTTCAGCCAATTCTCGCTGATGATCATTTTCTGCTTGTTCTTTCTCGCTTAATACTTGCTGCAACTGATTAGACAATATTGTGACTTTCTTACTCTGATTCAGTCTTTCACTTTCAATCTGCTGCTGTAATTCTCCAACATTGATTTCATATTGAATTTTCAATTGACTACGATCATTGATAGCCGTTGCTAGTTCTTGTTGATGACGTTCATCAGCTTGAGTTTTGGCATGGCTCATTTCATCAAGCTGGCTAACCAAGTTGGCTATTTTATGGTTATATTCAGCTTTTTGATCATTGCAGTTTTGCCTTAAATTTTGAATTTCATTTTCATACTGATTCTTTAATCGATGAGAAATCCTTATGGCTTCATCTAGCTGCTGTCTAGATTGGCACTGTGAATTATTCTTATCTTCCTCTAACTGATTTATTTGCTGATTTAATTTTGCGATTTGATGCTGATATTGAGTAGTTTCATTCTTGATTTGATGCTTTAATTCTTTGACGTTATTTTCATATTGATCCATCAAGCTCTTATTTTGTTGTTGGTATTCATTTTGAAAATCAACAACGCATTCATTTAAGCTATCAATTTGATCTTGATATTGTTGACTAGTTTGCTGAATGATTGGATCAAGGTGTTTCAATTCTTCGACAATATTTCCAAGACATTCATCTTGAGCTTGATGCATGGATGTTGGTGTTTCATCTCCACCTCGAGGACAAACAATCATTTGAGTTAAATTCTCCACTCCTATTTGCAGATAACGTAAATTTTTTTCCATCACTTGACTCATTTCCAGGATATTATTGGTAATTGGTTGATGTTGCTGATTTCCAGTGGCCAATGGGATATCTAAACTTGATGTTAAACTATTCATTCTTTCAGTTTGGTTGGCATCCATTATTTTCTATATTAAAAAAGTGATCAATACGTATTACAGTAACTCCCTTCATGGCATAAAATGTACAGTCGATTTCTATACGAGTAAAGTGTTGAATAACTCTTACTTTTTTATGACGACTTGAAATGATTCAAGGAAAATCTAAGATTGAATGATGCGCTGACAATCAAATATCTATCAATAATTAATGATATATACTGTCGTCTTATGAGAAATAGTTTGCCGTCTTAGCTACAAACTATGGAGTCATGATTTTATCTCCGTAGATACAAAGAAATACCTGTAAAATTAGAGAGGTAAAATATCATTAAAGAATACACTCTCATAAGGCATCCATGCTAGCTTATAATAACCCCAAAATTTCGCTTCTTACCCTAATTGCATGTTTTTTCTTGGACTCGCTAGCGTAAGATAGTGTCAATGTGTCGTTGATGGCGACCTAAACGATATTTTAAGTCCAATTTTTAATCATCAATGGCAGAGAAACTTTATAGTAAGACATCAATAGCAGGGACTATTGATAGTCCTGTAGTCCCTGCGGATACTGATTTTCAGTCCGCCCATTTTCTACTTACCCTAGTGAATGTTCGCCTAGCGTTTTTGTTGCAGTCAGACAGTCTCAAAGTGTTGTTGGACTACGACCTAAAACAATATTTTAAGTTCAATTTTTAATCGTCTGTAGAAGAGAAACTGCATAATAAGATATTGATGCTGATTTTCAATCTCCTAATTCTCTATACACCCTAAATTAAGGTTAATTATTTTTACAGCAAGATAGTGCAAACATGTAACAATATCGACAGTGATCTAAGCAATATTTTAAATTCAATTTTTAATCGTTGGCGGCAGAGAAATTTCATAGTAAGGCATTGATGGTCAATTTCAATTGCTCCATTCTCTACATCCCTACGTTAAGATTAGCCTTGAATTGACTACAGTAAGATGGTGTAAAACGTGTAGTTGACAGTGGATTCGACGATCTATTGGTGTTTTATCCATCTTTGAATTGTACATGATCAATGGACGATATCAATACTGGTTTACAGTATCCCCAAATTCTCCCACTTACCAGGAAATCTTACCTTCAGTTAATGCTCACCTTCAACTTGCAACACTAAGATCGTCTAAGCGCGTTGTTGACAGTGAAGTAAACTGTTTTAAAAGTTCAATTTTGGGATGATCTATGATAGATAAACTCAAGGTTGGATGGTATTTAATCGGTTGTGGAAATAACCTTATCGAATTCCATTAAATAGTGTTCCAATTGATAGTGATGATGATGATTAATACGTTTTGGACTTTCCCCTTGCCTACTGTCCTGTATATACTGTACAGCAGATAATGCAACATGGCGAAAGGTCAACATTTCTAAAAGTGAAAATATTTTATCTGTTTTATTAATCATCATCGACCAAGTCGCTACGTCATATTCAAGAAAGAACGAGTCTAATAGTCCAAGATCCAAAATCATGTAGACTGCGTTGTCATTGCAATGAGCATGAATTTATAGATATAATCAAATGCTACAGATGATGGAGAAAATATGTAGAACAAAAATGGATTACGAATTGGAAAGTCTCCATGTTCATGTTAGCTTCTGGCTGAACATGCTACATGGACACTTTTCAATAACAGATAGAAACCGTTAATAAAAGATTAAATCTAACCAGTTGAACTAGATGAGGTAGATTAGATCTCTAAACTGATTGAAGCGATAATCTTTGCTTTGACTTACCGGCTATAAGTAGCCTGCTACCATTCAAATGGCGATTAAAATACCCTGGAAAGAAATGAGCGCAAATATCAGTAACTCTACAGTATAATATGGACTAGGATAGAAGTTGAAGATCTGTCAATTCATGTCTACGTTGTTTGCTTGTTTTACTTCCTAGATGGTTAGCTTTAAAACGACGTTTAGAAAACCATTTTAAGACGGAAATGAGTGCGAGAATAATTGTAGAAGTATCAAATAATCACAGTCTAACGTCTCCATATTGATTTCAACCGGTTATGTTTGCTAAAACACTACAGTAGTTGTATACCTGGATAATGATATAGAATTTAGTGTACAGTTTGAGAAAAAGAGTGCAACAAATATGGACTTATTTCAATTATACGGCTGTAGAAGGTCTCTACGTCGATTTCAACCTATTCCATTTGCTAGAGTTGCTCCTTTCAGATCTCCACATTGATTTCAGCCACATCTGTTTGCTAGACTTACTGCAGTGGTTGCATACCTGGTTAATTCATCATGACAGTTCGAAAGCTGTTGAAAGAAAAGAGCCCAAGAATATAAACTGATCTAGATTACACCGCCGTACAAGGTCTCCATGTTGATTTTAACCTGTTAGGTTTGCTAGACTTACTTGTTGGAAACAGTAGTCTCTAGACGCATAACACAACATGGCCAGAGTATTGCGTAGATAGCAAAGAAATAGCCTACTCCTTTTTTTTGGGGGGGGGGGCAGTTCTCTGCTAGTAATATTGCTGTGGCAGACATTTTTGAACATTGCATGCTACATATAGTACCCCAGACTACTTCTTAGTGATCCCTGACACTGCTGACAGGAATCTCTTTGCAAAACATATATCCAGGCAAAGAGCAAAGTGAAAAAGTAGTCCTTCATTTTTTGCTTATGGTAGCGACAAAGACATTCTTCATAGTCTCTTTCAAAGCACAATCTACTCAAGTAGATAGCAAAGTGAAAAATGGCTCTTAATTTTAATCCATTCTATGCTTAAGGTAGCGACAGACATCCTTCATAGTCTCTTCACAAAACTCTTGCCAGAGTAGAGAGCAAAATGAACAAATAGCCTTTCATTTTTACCCATTAACTTTGCTCATGATAGCGACAAAGACATTCTTCATAGTCTCTTTCAAAGCACAATCTACTCAAGTAGATAGCAAAGTGAAAAATGGCTCTTAATTTTAATCCATTCTATGCTCAAGGTAGCGACAGACATCCTTCATAGTCTCTTCGCAAAACTCTTGCCAGAGTAGAGAGCAAAATGAACAAATAGCCTTTCATTTTTACCCATTAACTTTGCTCATGATAGCGACAAAGACATTCTTCATAGTCTCTTTCAAAGCACAACCTACTCTAAGTAGATAGCAAAGTGAAAAATGGCTCTTGATTTTAATCCATTCTATGTTCATGGTAGCGACAGACATCCTTCATAGTCTCTTCGCAAAACTCTTGTCAGAGTAGAGAGCGAAATGAACAAATAGCCTGCCATTTTTATCCATTAACTTTGCTCATGATAGCGACAAAGACATCCTTCACAGACTCTTCACAAAACTCTTGTCCAGAGTAAAGAGCAAAATGAAGAAATAGGCTTTCATTTTAATCAATTTTTTGCCTTACTTCATAGTCTCTTTGCAAAACTCCTGTCTAGAGTAGAGAGCAAACTGAAGAAATGGCCTTCCATTTTTATCCATTAACTTTGCTCATGACAGCGACAACGATATCCTTCACAGTCTCTTCACAAAACTCTTGTCCAGAGTAAAGAGCAAAATGAAGAAATAGGCTTTCATTTTAATCAATTTTTTGCCTTACTTCATAGTCTCTTTGTGAAACTCTTGTCCAGAGTAGAGAGCAAACGGAAGAACTAGTCTTTCATTTTTATCAATTTTTGCCTTGCCTTCCTTCAAAGTCTCTTTGCAACAACTCCTGTCCAGAGTAGAGAGTAAAATGAAGAAATAGCCTTTCTTCATTGTCTCATTGTAAAACTCTTGTCCAGAGTAGAGAGTAAAGTGAAGAAATAGCCTTTCATTTTTATCAATTTTTGCCTTACTATTCTTCAAAGTCTCTTTGCAAAAACTCCTGTCCAGAGTAGAGAGTAAATGAAGAAATAGCCTTTCATTTTTTGCTTGTGATAGCGATAGGCATTCTTCATAGTCTCTTTATAAAACTCTTGTCCAGAGTAGAGAACAAAATGAAGAAATAGCCTTTCATTTTTGCATTCCCTTCCTTCATAGCCTCTTTGCAAAACTCATGTCTAGAGTAGAGAGCAACTGAAGAAATAGCCTTTCGTTTTTTAACTCTTTGCTCATGGTAACGACAAAGATATTCTTCATAGTCTCTTTCAAAACACGACCTACGTACATTCTGAATAGAGAGCAAAGTTTTGAAATAACTCTTCAGTATTTTTTACTCATAGTTGTGGTAAAAGACATTGTTGATCATCTCAATGACTTCATGGTCTCTTCAGAAAGAAATGGCCACTTACTTTTACTGCTATTCTTTGCCTGACTGTCACAACAGTGTTTTAAATAAATTAATTCATCCAGTACTACATTTCTAGACATGAAAGAAGACTCATTTTTAATCGAGAATAAGCTCAGTGAAGATGGTAAAGTAACTCCATGGCCCGTCATTTTGGATAACAGTTCTTTGCTAGTTCGTTTTGCCTTTTCAGAACCAGGCCTTTGAGCAAAGCGTTGAAGTCTTTAAAAATAAAGCTTGTATACGACTCGTTGATTTTGCACCTCTTGTGCTATAATGGCAATTTTTCACACTACAACGGTAGACTTCTCAAGCAAGAGTATTTATTCTGCATTAACGTTAGACACTATATATTTTATTTTCACGATAGCAATAATTAACTAATCAACTGATGTAGCACTCAGCTTCGTCAACAACTAGTGACAAAATAATCAATTTTTCCGCTAAGTGTAATGAACTTTCTCAAGCGTTATGGATTTTCTATCATTCTTTGCTTCCAATAACAAGCGCCTAAAGTGAGTCAACAATTGAAGATAATTTTTGCACTACGGTAGTGGACTTTCTCAAGCACTGTGCATCTTTTCCAATTCTTTCCTAACCCCTAGAATTAGAATTAGTCAACAATTTCATGGCAATTTTTCACTACACACTACCAGTGGTGGACTTTCTCAAGCACTGTGCATCTTTTCCAATTCTTTCCTAACCCTTAGAATTGGAATTAGTCAACAATTTCATGGCAATTTTTCACTACACACTACCAGTGGTGGACTTTCTCAAGCACTGTGCATCTTTTCCAATTCTTTCCTAACCCCTAGAATTGGAATTAGTCAACAATTTTATGGCAATTTTTTCACTACACACTACCAGTAGTGGACTTTCTCAAGCACTGTGCATCTTTTCCAATTCTTTCCTAACCCCTAGAATTGGAATTAGTCAACAATTTTATGGCAATTTTTTCACTACACACTACCAGTAGTGGACTTTCTTAAGCACTGTGCATCTTTTCCAATTCTTTCCTAACCCCTAGAATTAGAATTAGTCAACAATTTTATGGCAATTTTTTTACTACACACTACCAGTAGTGAACTTTCTCAAGCTTGTTGAATTTTAGGTCATTCTTAGCTCCAATGGTAGGTGCCGAACAGGCAACAGGTATTAAAGTCGTTCTATCACTCAGAAGACATTTTTTTATTACAGTCATAAACTTTCTTTCAACCCCTGAGGTATTAAAATTAGTCAGCAAGATCATTTTTTCATTACGGTAAGCTAGCAATGAATATTGTCAAGCTTGGTGGATTTTTACCAATCCTTGGCTCCATTGGTTGGCATCCAACAGGTATTAAAGTTAGTTAGTCAATACTGTAAATCGAAGATATTTTCTACTATTACGGTCATAAACTTTCTTAACCACTGAGATGTTAAAATTAGTTGACAAGGTCATTTTTTTTCACTTCTGTAGTGTGTGTTTTGCTTATTTCTATACTATAAGTAGTACAGAAATGAGCTTTCTCAAGCTTGGTGAACTTTTAATTCCATTGCTAGGCTCAGGTATTCGAGTTAGTCAATCACTCCAAGACCATTTTTTCACCGCGGCAATCAACTTTCTTGAGCAGTGTGGGATTTTTTTCCAGTTTTTCACTACAGTTATAAACTTATAAACTGGCTCAAGTATTGTATCGATTTTTTTTTGTCGTTCTTTGCTTCAGTGGTAAGCGGCCAAGAAATACTAAAGTCAGTCAACAACTCCCAATTGCTAAGACAATTTTTTACCTGATGATTCAACTTGCCTGAATAGAACGTAGCAAAATGGTTCCGGCCAAGAATGGCAGTTCTTTCGCAATGGGAACAGCCTTCTTACAATAAAGTCTTCGACTGCAAACGGTTCCCATGAAAATTTGTCATTTCTCTCCTAGAATAGTCATGTAATCAAATCAAAAAAGTTCGTAAGCTTGAAAGTTTTGCAGTTCTTGCCTGCGTTAGATACAGCCATTTTTCAATGTTGTTATGGAGTTGCCACGGTTCCCGTCGATTTTACAGTTCTTCCCTACTGTAGACGCAGCCATTGAATCAAAATGATTCCTAGGGATTTCGCAGTGCTTTCCTCATCGGCGCAGCCATCTTTTCAATGCGGTGTTATTAAATCAAAACTGTTCCTAGGGATTTTAGCCTTCTTCTCACCGTAGAGTCCTTCCATTAAAATCGTTCCTAGAGATCTTACACTTCTTTCCTAATACGCACCGCCATCTTTTCAATGCAGTCGTTGAATGGAAACCATTCCTGACTCTTCTCTCTTACTACTATTTACAGTGCAGTGATCGAATCCAATCGACATTTTTTCCCCCAGGTCAATTAGAAAGCGAATTCTTGACAGTAGTCGTTGCAGTGTAGCACTACGGTGATTTTAGCAACGCACTGATTGAGCTATACGATCCTGTCAAGGAGATGCTTGCAGAGAGGGACTTGCTTGTAAGAGAAATTTCTTGCTGTAGATTGCAGGTATTTTTTACAAGTAGTCTAGCGCCATTCCGTCATCGTCGTAACGCAATCGCCATTGCAGGTCTTTGCACCATCTTCAACTTTAACATTCGACACAACAACTAAGCGCTTTTTATTAAAACTAGCATTTCTATCCAATTTATTTCAGTCATTTTCCTGGCAAAATACATACCAGTTGTTGATGAAGAATAGAAAATTGATGACCAGTTGTTATTCTATTTAAATAAATAAATAGTCATGCAATAACTTCAATTAAAATAAACCAAGCGCCAAGTTGCCATGACATCGAGCTAGCAATCCAACTACTACTATCTACTGCATTCTATATCTTTTATATACACCCTATACGGAATGGCTATAGCTGAGCAAAGACTTGCTTATTTCTTAATTTAGATCGATAGAACAACTATAACGCGTTGTCTTTTCTATGCCATAGCGGCCATCTTGCTAGGGTGCCACCAACCAAATCGTCATGTAGGCCATCTACTGTATGTCAATCACTTGCTCTTTCGCCATTTTACTCCTTTCCATCATCAAGCACACGGTGGGGTAAACTCATACAATACCTCTTTCTTGACATGGCCAACTCAAAGTCCAAATAGAGCACAGTTAAAAAGGCTAAAAAGAAAATAAAATTGATGAGAATGTCCATTTAATGCTTGCCATGTTGATGGGGAGCCTTTTATGCTGTAGAACAGTCAAAAGACGACCTCGTGCCCTATAATAAAACCATGAGCGCTGGTATGCCTTATTGAGTAAGCATAGCCATGGCGCGATCATTTTGACCCATGACTACTTACTATCCCATACAGTATTCGCTAACTAGCAATGCTGTATAAGCCAAGGTCGTAGGGCGCAAGGAAAATCTTCGTCAACAGGATTTTTTAAAATTACAAGGATAAATATCGTCCAATTTTCACTTTATTATACCATTCCATTCGTCTACAACATTCCGAATCCATTGATCACCAGTCTATCATAGCGAAAATTCTTTAAATTAAGCCTTGATAGCTGGCAGTGTAGGAATAAGTGAACGCAAAATCATCCAAGAACCCTAGAAAAAGCAAAAATCTACAAATGGCGAGCTCACTTTTCAACTCACTGAAACGAAAAGGTAGAGCAAGTAAAAAAAATCACTTGCAACACAGTCCTAAATACGTAGAAATAATCGATTAACAGTAAGTTCAACGGTATGGGTCACAAAGCGTATTCGATCTTGTTATGATAGACCCAAGATAGAATTATCAATCATTTTACGCCATATCGACAATGTTGTCTATTTGAAGAAGAAGTAAAAGACTTTTTACTGGAAATATTGACCGTTCAATAGGGGCCAAGGTAGAAAGTAGCTAACATTTTCTCTCCCCTGTAAATGATCTATAGGTTCTCGAAAATATCGAAGATCCAGGGAAGTAAATGACGATTCACTAACACGAGAACCAAGAAAAATTTCCGCTGCTTCCACTTCTGCTGATGCTAAGACAGCCAACAAAGCTCGAAAAGGATATAAAAGTAAAGAAAGCCAGGAAGAAGATTCTCAACCACCTTCAAGAAAACAGTTAGCTAACGCCATCGGTGGCGGCTCAGATATACGATCTGTTCTAAGAAGACTCCTTTCCAATAGACCACCGATTGAGACATTACGAGAGAAAGGAATCTATCAAGGTAGCTTAAATAAATCGTATTCTACTCATCGATTGAATTTCCATTTGATCAATTCATTATATTACATACGGACGCTATAACGCAGCCGCTTTCGCTTCCAAAAGAAATTCAAATCGCTTTCCTTCTATCACAATCATCACGCTTATTGTTGCTAGATACAGTATGATAATCACTTCTTGCAAATTTTATCTAAACTTCATCAGGATTTCTTCTATCCACCCTTTAGATCTAACATTTGGTGCTCCTTTAGAAGTAGTTTGCAAGAGAGAATGCCAACTTGTTCCCAAATTTGTGCAACAATGTATAAACCACATTGAAAGTTGCGGTAAGCATTGGAAAAGGGCGTAGATACATATACCGTACAATCGTAAAAAATTCCACCTCAAGAATAATACAGCATAACTTGATAGGAATAATGTCTTTAAAACAGGATTGCAATATTTCTCAAATAACTTACCCTATCCCAACTATGTTTCAATATGAACACCATTATAAAACTCAAGATTGGAAAGCTATTCGATCTGTTATCATCTTATTTATAATGTACTTCACTACTGTTGAAATGATGTAAAGGATTAGTCAAGAAAGTTCTTTAAATCAAATCTCAATTGTCGAAAATTTGTTATGCGAATAGATATATTAATTGAATCCTCTTTTTCTGACACCCTAAACTGCCTCTTCTCCTGTAAAGTTTAAAGTGATTAGTGTATATCTCAAAACAGAATAACGTTAGCATCATAATGAGGCATTTCTCCAACTTGCGACCGATGATGATAAATTAAATGAATCATCAACAATTATACAGGCTACAGTCGCCACTACACACAGAAATGATATCAAAGATGGAAAATGTTTTCTGCACTCATTTTCCATGTAATTTACTGTATTTGTATGCTTACATAGAGTTATTTTCATAAAATATATCTATATGTCCCATACCAATTATCACGAAGCTACTTATCAAATACGGTGTAATGCATTAATAACTGTTGCTGTATAGCTCAATACTTGGCCTGAATAGCAGCATCTACAAAAAATGAAAAAGATTTTCTATGAATTATAATTGTTTAGACGATCAGGCAATTACATCTTCTTCGAAATGGGTTATTCTAGCGAAGACAAATTTCTAATTAGTTACACAACGAACAGCTATTATCTTATATATTTATAAATAACTTTGTGTCTGTCTACAACTAGGTTTGGAATGTCAAGGAGTTTATCGAACTAGCGGAAATATGGCATCTGTAAATAAGCTCAAATATCAAGTTGATCATAGTTAGTAATAACTCACTGTAGATGTAATAGTACTTACCTTTGGGACGTTACTAAATATGAATTGTATACCGTAATCTATTTCTTACTTGATTATAGATGCTCAGGTGGACCCAGATTTGTGGCATGATATTACCGTAGTTACATCGGCTTTAAAACTTTATTTCAGAGAACTGCCAACGTCGCTCTTAACAGATAGATTCTATAAGCAAGTTACTGCCTACATAGGCTAGTTAAGATTTATGATAATATATTAACGCTATCACTATGGTTCGTTTAAAATTTTCGATGCCATAGACGTTAGTCCTTTTACATCACTACTTAGCAGCAATGGTTGAAACTGCTTCTAACTACTACTATATAGGCGAGGAAGATCTTGGTATCCTGATAACAAATTTAATTGACAGTATCAATCAACTTCCTAGATGTAATAGAGTCACATTGGATCTGATACTTCAACATCTGCAAAAGTAAATATTTGTGATAATTTTACATCTAAAAGTAATATATTATTCTTAACATGTTTACCGCTCCTTGCGATTGCGGTTCAAAATTATGGTACGTTAAAATCAGTCATTTACAGTACTTGTTTTACAATACAAAACCTCCTATTGGTAGTTTGTAAGAATATAGTTATGAAATGATATATTCCGAAAGTGATGTCATAGGATTACATTCAGCGGGCACTATTATTTGTTTTTCTCCGTATAACCCATCGCTGTTATTTTAATTTTTTGTAGGGTAGTTGAGCAAAGTGCGAAGAATAAAATGACAGTTAGTAATTTGAGTATCATATGGGGCCCTACGTTAATGCAAGTTCCAGACCAGGCTGAGTTTGGACGATCGCTAATGGTGCAAAAGAAAACCTTAGATGTCATACTAAGGTATTATCAGTATCTCGACATTCAGGTAATTCTGCTTTTACATCTGCACTGCAGATTGTTCTAGTCAAAGATAAATTATTAATGATACAATTACAACACTGTTTGCAAGGGTTGGAAATAGTAATCAAATTGAAATTAAGTTTGCTTTCAAGATTCGTAAATTTAATCTTTGATTAAGCTACATATCTATTTTCTGCAGACTGGATCTGAGTCATTACCGAGATAAAGTCTTTCTCAATGAATAATCATCAAAGCTGTTCAAGCAGAAGTTTTTACTAGTGGTAATTCTATAACAGGCTTAATGAAAGCGCAACGGTTGATATTGTAATATTCTCCTATAACTGGATCTATTGTAGTTTTTTTACACTCTACTCAATGGATATCAGTATAGAACAAGAATCATTTTTCAATGGTGTGATAGCAAATTAAAGGTCACGATATACTTTATAATTATTTTTTCAATTTTTTGCAATGAATTAACTACTATATGATGTATCCTTACGTTATTATACTTAGACAAATCAGATTTATTAATTAAGTTTTATATTTATACATACGCAGATACGTTACTGGCTGTATCTTATGAGTTTTTTATTATGAGACGCATTTAATGGATGTGAAATATTTGTATGTAGCGTATCCAACTGTATACATTAATATATCTTCCTAAATAGAATAAAAATGATGGCATTATTTAATTTTCTAAATTTCCTTTGACTACCTATTCAGTATTTCCTAGCTGTAACCACATCGATTACACTTATGCAATTGATCATACTCTACTAGAGCAATATCAGGATACCTGTAAGAGAAGATAAAGGTACATATTGTCTTTTTATTACCCAATGGAAATATAAATGGAAAGATTCAAATTGCAATATAATAACGTAAAATCCACAAAAGAAATCAATTTCTATAAGACTATTTTGAGATGTTTAATCATGTAGACATGGTGATACAATATGGCTAAATAAAGAAACCATTACCCTAATCAATTACTAAAACTAATTATTATCTGTAAAATCCGCGAATATGCGAGTATTCTACGATACTAATAAACTATACCATAAGACAGACTATAAAAAAAAAAAAATTTTTATCCTAAATCTTCCACCAGGATTAACTGTCATCATGTACAAAACCAATAATCATGCAAATATAACGCATAGAAATAGATTCGATAGCAGATAAACTATAATAATTGGCTAGACTAGACTTTTTTAATATGTAGCGCTGCCAAATAATGAAATTGATTACGCTTAACCATTTACCTAAGCTACCGTAACCTGCAAAAAAGCCAATCATCATGCAAATATAATCCATAAATATATCCTATGTTGCAGATCAATTAAACCAGCAAATTAGACACTTTAATACGTACTAGTGAATTTCCCGTTCGAATGAATGGGAATTTATTCTACACGAAGCAACACATTAAATGAAAATCCATAGCTAGATTATCATACTATATATGCTTCCTAAACGAAGAAATGATTGATCTGCCCTTCATGATTTACCATAATCAAGTATATGTGTGCGATTTCTATTCGCTTTTTCTAACTGAAGGTGTACTCTAAATTCATAAAAAATAAATAGTAATAATCGACCATTGTACTGTAGCCTCCAGATATATAGGATAGATAAAGTATAGTAGCACAATGTAGTTTTCGGTAATGAATTAATCTACCAGATCGTACGAGTGCAAGTACACGCAACATACTAAATCGACTGCCACTGATCTTTCAAATCCCCGGCAAATAAATTAAAGTACGTCAATATGATAATATTTGCAAAAATTATAATTAATTTATCTATTGCTATACTGTATACTATATAGGTATAATGCAAATTATGCAAAATAATACAACAGTAATATAGTTTACGTCATGTATCATACATTGCAGTAAGCAATAGTGGTAGTAGAAGCAAGCTCAGAGTAATGGCTAGAGTAGGCTAATAGTAGTCATGGTTACGTTAGCATGCGCAGTACTACGAGTTAATCATCATCCTCCATTTCTAATATTTAAAAGCAAACGATCTAGAGAAGTAAAAATGTCGGAAGTAACTGTTTTAAATCTGTGGGAAGATCGCGATATTCGCTTCGATATTAGCCTAGCGTAAGTTATTAGAACAAAACGATTGTATATTATAATGGTAGATAGTGGTCATCGGTTGTAAACTTGAACAATTTGTTATACTTGTATATATATAACTTGATTTTCCATTTTATATTACCTGTTCAATGTATTGATTTATAGCCAAATGAGAATGAGACCGGGCGAGGTAAGCAATATTAAACTTCCATTATAGTGTAAAAAAGTAGCAATCTAGCAGATTGCTAACACGCGAATATAACTTTTAAATGATCAAAGTTGACCGTATCGGATAAATTATACCGTTATATTAAAAGAAGAGATAACAACATGGGCCCGTAAAATGTCCAAAAAACTCTAATTTTTTCAATAATAACTATGCCATGGAAACGTAGTAAAGTATTTCTTCCAATAATGTATAATATAAGATTAGTGAAAAATGATAGCAATCAATCTTCAATATGAGATAATCTGTATTTCAGTAACGACGATAAAATCGAATAGTAAGGTGGCGAACGAGAATACTATAATTAGATTAAACATCGAGTAGATATACCAGTCATATCTGATAGACAGATAGGCAAGCAGACCACGCTAAGTCAGGAGAAATACTTAAAAAATGTAATAATTTTCCTATATTAGAATCAAATAGATATCCTAGTTATATTTCACAGATAGATATTAAGAACGCACGATTCTACGTGAACTCTAACAGAGAAATACTATCTTAGATATCAAACTGACCCTAATAATGTTCTCTAGATAGATAAATAGACAGATAGAAAATAACTACCAGACGAGTCAAGCGTTTTACATTTGTCTTTGATATCAACAATCGATATTAAATCGATTTACTCTCTATTAATTTAACAATGATATAGATGCTGATAGATCGATTAGATTCGATAGAAGACACCAAAGGAAATAACGGTGAAAGAGGTACTGCAAATACTATAGTATAAGTAATAAGTATACATTGTTGTGATATAATGAGATAATATTACAATATCAAGTGTGGCAGCAGTCACCGAGTGGATAATGTCATCTAGCTAGACTAATATTTTTGGCGTTACGTATGTATTATTGAAACGGATTGTAATAGCTGTTCTCGAATATAATTCTTATTTAAACAATAATTCTAAGATATAATTTTCAATGACATAACATAGAGAATCTATTTGTAAAATTTGAAGTTTAACTAAACACCACTAGCAGATTTCATGATAATAACGAGTGAGGTCTAAAGTCCTTTATCCTAAGAATTTCGATAAATGTACTCTATTCTATAAATATGGATTTTATCGCGAATGTCATTGTCATCTGCTAAAATAGAAAGTACATCAGTAATGAATCTAAAGAAGAACCTAATCATATATATATAAAATAAAGCATACTTAAAGCTCTTGACAATTCTCCAAGAATAAAGCTTTATAAAAAATGAGTAGTATCGGTCTAATTCCTGATATAAAAGCGTGTACAGACTAGTACTAAGTATTGGAATATAAACTCTATTCTCGCTTGTATTATCTTCTAGGCCGTTTACTAATTACAAATTTAAGAATACTTTGGCACTCACAAGCAATGCCTCGAGTCAACTTATGTAAGAAAACCTATATATGAAATGTCTTGATTGTTTGAGTTATATCTATAGATTTATATCCTAACTTAAGTCAACCACTGTTTTTACTAGCTGTAGGATATAACTGTATCGTTAGCCTTACAACAAGAGTAGCCAATTCAGTAAGTTGTAAACATTACGTTATTTTAAGTTTGATATATCCCTACAAGACGATTAACTGATCGTCTCAGTGGGTAGTTAATCAAGAATACACGTAAGCATATAACTATATCGTTAAATTGATTCGGCTAAAATTTTAGAAATTACGTGGACAAACAGAAGCCTTATATATCTTAACGCGTTGCAATAATACTCGCTTTGAATTTATCTTCACTAATTTGGTAAGATCAATCTAACTCGTGTTTATCGTAACTAAATCATTTTACCAATCTAGTGATCTTATTTTTTTTTATCGATATGTTATAGTAGATAAAATTTATCTCACTTTTACTGCTTGGATAATTTTATTTAATTTTAGGTAAGCTCTAGTCCTCGACTGTTTACATCGGTGATGTCCGTTTATCGGTTGGTTGCTTACTAAAATCATTGATTATTTCAATTTTCGATAATAGTTTGGGTTGATATTATGAATTAATTTTTAAACTACACATAAACTGCTTGTACGAATATAGAGAAATATATACTTTTCAAAATTAATAAGAGTCGATGCAGTCGATTGAATTACTTTATATTAGACATTTTTATGTACGTTCATTTCCACCCCCAGCTTGACGGCTATGGAGTGATTCACCATGGTTGTTAATGTAAATCTGTTTATCGATCGTTTCTTAGCGCTTACGAAACTTCAAAGTTATATCGTGATTTGAAATTGAGAGGAGCTCTAATTCAAAATAAACAATTGAAATTATTGCCCCAAGAACAAGTTTACGATAAGGTATATTTATATGATTAATATCTCAGTTACAAAACTTATTCTCTATTGTAGCCAAGGAATAAACTTTGCTTAGAAACGACCATAATTCGTTTATCCTGTTTTCTTGCAATAGATTAGCGGTGTCTGGAATTTATCGAGTGATCAGGTTAGATAGATATAAAAGGCTATCAATGATCAACTATCTATCAAGAATGTAGTATATATCTGTAGCACATTAAAATGCTCAAAAGAAAATATAACTTAAATAATTTGTGTAGGGTAATTTAGGAACGTTTTTCATCACTAATGTTCGCTTGGTTTGGCATGCTAATATGAACGATAGTTTCAACGTTAGTATACCTTACTTGCAAATGGTAAGTTCCTTATTATAGTGTGCTGCAATGCATACCATCATTGAAACATCTTCACGTTACATTGTTGTTAATCAATGCATTTTTGAGGTACACTACTATGAATGATTAATAAAGATTCTTTCTTCATAAATGAATTTAATCTACTTAGAAATCTATCAGAATTCGCGACTCCAAGTTTGGGTTAGCTTTAGTATTAGAAAGCTCACAACAGGTAAAGATTACCTTAAATACCCGCGATTCTTCATGCACCGCTATCATAATATGAGTTCATCATGATGCCAATTCAGAAATAGGATATACGTATATATGATAATGAGCAATTGCTTATGCAATGAAAGATATCTCTATAACTTTAATTTCTGTGATCAGATCTGTACATGTAATGTTCTACAATTGGTTAATAGTATTGTGGTAGTAATATAGTGAGAAACGATCTGATTTATTTCAAGTTTTATGAATACCTTATTAAATTCGAAATAAAAGCACAATTAATGGGCATAGAGCTATTTCTCTATTAATGATTTATTCTTATCGATAATATGAATTATTCACAATTCCAGAGTGGTGGTTATGTATTGGGATTCCGAATAGATCCTGTCGAGAAACTTTACGAAGCACTAAAAGAGATTCAAAGTTTGCATCGGGTACGCCAATATTTTTATAAATGTATTTCAAATAATGTAGCTTAATGACTAACGTTATCCATATAGATACCTTTAATAATTAAATTTTGGACTATCATAGCTTAATACTTTGATTGATTAATATAACTCTTATCGCTTTAAAAATGAAAGCTAATTTCTTCATTATTACGGCTGCGTAGGTCTATAGCGCGAGTCCAATATTTGGTGTAGATTATGAATTAGCAGAGAAGGTTAACTAGCATCTTAATATTGATGATTCTCAGCGCTTTTCAATAGCTGTGATCTAAACAGAGCAACGATTATAAATGCTGTTTACTGATTTGATCTGTGATAACACTTATAGCCTCAGCAACTTGACGAATTGACGGTAGACGTTGTTCAAGACGATGTGGAAATCGTTAATGAGGAAGAAGCAACTGATGCTTTTGCTGTAAGACATGTTAACTTTAATATTACTAGCTTTTAGATAGATAAAAACTACTGTAGTAGGTGCATCTGTCTTGACTTGATAGCATTAAGCACAATAGAATACATTAAAAAGGGGATATTAAGTACTTATCGTATATGCGATACAAGCATTAAAACGTTTGCGTATTTTTCATTCCTTTTTGTCTAGGCTTATTTTGCCGATGGAAATAAGGTCAGTAGATAGAATTTTTCATACTATTTTAGCTACAATATCGATTAGGACTAGGCTAGTGAGGAAATGAATATGTTGCTAAAAATATCATTACGGTATTTGCAATGATTAGCAAAGTGATCGGCCGCCAGTTTACAACGAACAACTTGGTTTAGCTGTTGAGAAATTAATGGACGGCTATACTCTGGCTTCTCTCTGGGAAGTTGTACCCAATTAAGAGAACTTGATGAAATATTTTCCCTCTAATGATAGTACAAAGTTGGTAACAATTCGATAATTGATAAACTGAATAATCAATCTCTCAAGTAGAAATCAATACTGGTATATAAAAGTACATTACCACTGTATAAAAAAAAATGCTTGTAAGATTTATGTTGAATTCTTTTGTAAAATTTAAGTTAGTTACTTTAAAATGTTCTCTCCTCGTTAATTTGATCCTTCATTGTAAGTCACTTCCTAGTATAACACTCATTACTTTTCATAATTACATTCGTAATTAAGTTGTATCGTTAGCGCAACCTATAAGGCTTGATTATTAATTATTATGTATTATTTCTGTATGGAATGCAATCACATTACTGTTAAAGTACCAACGACATCAAGTCAATATGTGAGTGATCATCTATCTGGCGCACATTATTAATATTTAAGTAGGATCATTATTACTAAATATAGAATTTTAAACGTAGCGTGAGTACTACTGTACATTGCATTGCACTGAAAGAAATAAAACGAATTGTCGAAAACGGCGATAACGAAAAAGCACTAATCACGGCTTCATCGACTACAGTTTCTGAATTATACACGCTACTAATATAGTTGGTAGACTTTATTAGGACAACGCTGTAAAATTATATCCAATAAAATATTACAGCTAACGTCTTAATTCGATTCAATATTGACGATTATAAAGTCCGGAGGTGGTAATATCTAATAATAACGAGTTATCGATAATAATACGTAATAACAATTTACGCAAATATCTATTTCCCATGTACAAACTAAGATAGTTAGCAAAGGACGTATATCAACCACGCTATATCTAATTTTATAACGCTGAATGCATACAAATCGCTTTTAAATTTTTATATTATCCTATTTCAATCTGGCGATTGCTTACTATCCTTTGCTACTATTACCGTAATTACTGATTGAACTGAAAAGTTGCAAAAAATCCATAATCAGTGATACGTAGGACATCCATAAATAATAATACCTTACATAATATTTATGTAAGCTATGCAAAATCTAAAGTGGGTGATGCACAAATCAGTTAATGCAAAAGGAGAGACCAATAAATGCATGTCCTTAATACATTCGCATTATCCGTACAAGGTTTGAACTTATCATTAAAGGAGATAATATATAGCAAATTAATAATTAATTCTTATCCTTTCAAGTCAGCATACACGTACTTTAAACATATTTATGAATACAAGTGCATACCAAAATATTGGTTCCAGTATTGAATGTAGAAGTCAACAGTACAGCATGCAAATATCGAAAAAAAATCTAACCGTAAATTTGTCATGTACATTAAATCAACCATAAGCGTGATTTAATTAAATAATAGAGAGAATGTTCATTCATGTCAGTCAAGTTGTTGACAGACTCAATGAGACACGATACCAGATCAGTTGTTGTCTGCAGCCAGGTTCATCGCCACAATCTAGTCTGTCGTGCATACAAACGAGGTAAGCAAAGGTGCCAAGAAGTCGACTCTTTTAATCCATTAAGTTATTATACTTGTTGATGCCAAAAATGCGTACAGTATGCAGTGCCGGTAGCTTGGGTATGATCACAGAGCATAACGTGGTGGCATTAAATAAGAAATGCTGGACTTCGTAGCGGGTGTAGAAACTAGTCAGCATAAACCTATCAATCATACATCAAAAGAAACTTCGTTTTATCAATCATGAACGCTTTCCTTTGGTATGTACAATTTTAATTCTTTATTTCTTGTTGATCTATCCTCATAAACTTACATTGCAATCGGTACCATAATTAAGAATTTTCGGGTCCTAGTAAATTGTTCTCCAGAATCGATTTGTTCCCAATGTGTTAACTGTCTGCTTTTACCTTGATCAAACGTATCAAAGGGTGTACCTTTCATGACATGGAATAGGAAGAAGGTAAACTGAAATAAAAAAAGCTCATTGTTAGTTCTTACATACAATAGCAATATTATATAAGCAATTTATTAGTTCCTAGGTGATAGGAGTAAGTTACTACCGTACGAGGAAATGTATATTGCAATACTTCGATGAATAGACGAGTATTCATTATTACAAGCATAGATAGATTGGATCAAGTTCACTTTAAACAACTTGATCCATCCAAATTTCATTGGTTTTACTACATGTATCGTAGTAGCGTGTCGATTCTTTTAACAGTCAGTACCGGTATAGAAGTCCAAAGCATACCCTGGTCAAAATATACTCGGGATGAAAGTAGCCTAGTCTGTTTTCATACCTCAGGTATATTCTAGATTAGTCCAGTTTATCAAAAGCAGTAGTAGAGCCAAATGCACTAGTGAGCGAGGTGAACTTATTTTTGCCACAAATGGAAATTGAATAAGTACAGTACTGTACAATTTTATTGATTAATTCGATCTAGTACGATAATACTGCAATCAGGATAGTGGCAAACACTGCGCTCTTCATCAATTATCAAGGTTAAGGTAACCCCTAAGGTAAATCCAACAGTATGTAAACAAAAACAAACTTTTTTAATAATAATTAATTTTTATAACACGTCATAATAAAATTAGTAGATGATAACGTTGGAAAATGCTGTAGTCAACTTGAGAAATATTGTACTGTATGAGTATTACAATGACCAAAAGCAAGAGTATCAAAATGACTCAGATGTTTATTCCTTCTTACGGAGAACAACACCGTGGATATAGTACGTTCTACCGACTACTACAGCGCATAAAGTAAAAGTACGTTCAAACTAGCTACTGATGGTTCCGATCATGACCTATCTACTCAGTAATCAAGACTAGTTTATTCAGTCAATTTGTAATTTCAAAACTCGTGAATAAGATATAATTTATTAATTAATCGACAGTCCAGTCAATTTTCGATATTCAAGGATTGAATTATTAAACGATTAAAAAACAAGTAGTGACCCTTATTAAGGGTTAAAAACCACATGAATTATTGGGTGAATCTATTTACTAGACCGCTGATTCATTACCGTCAATATTGCATGTTATTATTTTGTAACTACCGGTTATTGCCTGAACTTGTCCCCACTGTCAATACAATCAACGTACGTTAGCTTAGTATCAAGGGAAGTCCCCCAAAATGAAACAGTTTGTGACAAAAACAAATTAACATGGAGGGAAATTTTGATTACTGTTGTTGAAAAAAGTGCCGCTATAGAACATTCGATTAGTCATAATCGTCTTCCTTTTTCTTCAGTTTTCCACATCGATATTGTATGTCCATATTAGCTTAATGTCATTTCATCAGCACAACTAACATTCATTCTTTGTTTTATAAATTTAGGCTTTTAATTGTTCCAGTAACAACTTGAATAATTATTTTTTTTTATTTGTTGTCAGCAAAGTTACTGTATCATCTTTTCAAATGACGGCTGTTTTGATTACTATGTAGCAGGTAACATACTTTGTATAAAATATGGAGAAATTACGTTATCAGTAGAATAGCTAAATATGATGATTACTGTATGTGCATGCACTTTTACTCACGGCATTTTCATTTTTATAGCAATGATATTGGATTATTAATTATAATGATCACTGGATCGGTATAGGTCAAGTACTGAAACAGCTTATTCTATGTATAGTGTTGCAGTAGTTTGGAACAAAAAAAAAAAACATGACTGTACTATTGGAGTTTGAGCAAAACAATGATGATGATGCAATGCAAAAGTCCAATGTGGATACCAACTCTTTGTGATAGACCTGGATCGATCTATCTTTGCTTGATAGGTATTGTCATCGATAGGACATAAGATTGATCGATTTTATAGCATTCGATTTCTATTTAATGACGGCAAGTATTTTTTTAATACTACTACGATTAATATGTCCACAACAGATGAAAACAAATACAGTAGAACCAGATGATGATGATATCATGCAAGTTGTCGGAATGGCTATGCAATACGTCATGGAATTGGATAAAGACTATATAAATCAATCTGTATCTTACTGCATTTCATCTGATAGTGAGCCATGTACAAGATACAAATTGATGATCAATAAAGTCATTATTATTATATTACATATCGATCGATGTACAGTATGCTGTATCTATTCAATAATTAGTTGGTTGAAAGTTTGTTGCCTAAGCTGGATGATTGCTGCGGTATCTTGGGGCCTTAGCAATCACTAAGTAGTACTATGTACATTTGTTGAGAAAAAAATAACTCCAACTGGCCGTCAATGGACAATCGACTCATAATGAGTGTGATCATGAATTCATCAGAGACATAATTTGATCATTTCTTTTGGCCCTTTATAACGCTACAGCTGCATCCGTACGCTAGCAGGCGAGCTGCAATTTATTGCAAATCAACCTAGGCGTAGACTGTTTTCAGCTCCATTTTGGACACTATTTCCCATAGTAAGTTTTCAACAGGATAAATTCAACATTGACTCACTGGCCATGATGGATCTAAAAGTGATCCATCATGGACTTGATCAACTTGATTAGACTAGGATGAATTGACGAGTTCGGCTGTTGTTGCATCATTGACGGATGATGGAAATGAAAACACTTACCACATTGTGAAAGGTAAACGTCAATGTCCAAGCTTGGGGTACCGTTAAAACAGGAATACTTAGGAAGAAAAAATGTTCCAATAATATAAAGAGAACATAGGTTATCCAAATGCCTCGACTATTCAGCCATTCGACGTTTGGATTGGATGCTGATCGTGTTCGAGCGGCTTCCATATTGGTTCATCGATGTCGATTGCAAAGTCAATGGAGTAGAACTGGAGCAAGCCGCTTTAACCAACAATAGCACTTCAGTCAGCATTGGCTACGTCCTCTCACTGTAGCACGTACAGTATAGTGTACAGTACATGGGATCCGATTTCGTCACACAGTCCACGTCACACTTTTGCAGTATTGTACTGTACAGTACTGTACGTTCTCTTATCTCCACTGTGACCATGGAGATACGGTACACTGTAGCACTGGACTGTACACTGTACAGTACACTGTAGGGGCAGAACCTGGAAGCGTAACACTGTACTGTACAGTATGTACAGTACTGTACAGTACTGTACGTTCTCTTATCTCCACTGTGACCATGGAGATACGGTACACTGTAGCACTGGACTGTACACTGTACACTGTACAGTGTAGGTGTACACTGTAGGGGCAGAACCTGGAAGCGTAACACTGTACAGTACTGTACAGTACTGTACTGTACGTTCTCTTATCTCCACTGTGACCATGGAGATACGGTACACTGTAGCACTGGACTGTACACTGTACACTGTAGGGCAGAACCTGGAAGCTTAACACTGTAATGTAGCTACTGTACAGTGCGCACTACTGTAAATAGAAATCGTATGACCCTGCTTGGACGATACTAGACAGAAGACACTATTCCGTGATTGGCTTAGCTGGTAGATCACGATAGCTAGTCATATGATCACTCACTCTTTCACACTCGCAGCTAGTTTCATTGATCACATTTGATGGTCGAGCTTACTGTACAGCACATTGCTCGGTCCTCTACCAGTGTTATTAGCCAGGTCAATTCTTCAAAATGGATGCTGTCGATTTTCTGTCGCGGATCAACATGGATAGACGAGTGCTACAGTCCCTCTTTTTCTTTTCCTGAAAGTTGTCCTGCTGTACGGTACTGCAATGGATCCCTTCGTGAATCTACAGTACTCCAATGGCCGCACAGCCAAAGATTGTTCTTTTACCTCTATTCACTGCATTGTACTGTACTGTACTGTATAATGGACTGTACACGGTACAGTGGACACTCATAACTAGGCTTTAAAGTCATAATACAGTTATGGACTACTATCGGCATCTTAACGGTGCATCTACTAGACTGGTCGTTGATGACACAGTCAACTTATACCACAACTACAAAGTAGTTTTGATATTCTCCAATGGTCTACTAGACGCGTATAAAACGAGGATAGGACAATACTGCTAGTACGCGTATGCAAAATACGAAGACATTCCCAGTAATAACAGTAAAGCCTCAGATTACCGGTTCATCAACCAAAATGCTAGAAAAGCCTGTCAAAAAGGTCAAAAAAAGCGCGACCGGTGCAGTCAACGCACAGTACAGTCCAGTACTGGAAAGAAGAGAAAGGGACGAAATACGGCCGAAAGCTGCCCAAAAAGGAGCAGGCTGACTTTATTAGTGGTCATTTTACAATACGCTACAGCTGTAACCTTGCACCGTACTGTGCAATAGCAACCTGGCAGCTAATTTGGTCGTGTAAGAAGTCAACAGTACAGCACAGTAAAAAAGATTGCCGATGATCACTCAGTAATTGAATTCAATCAGGGACTTGTCGATTTGGGGGGTAAAAAAAATGGAAAAGTTCCTGATTATTAAATACGGGTCAGTGTCCTTTAAAAACAGTCAACCCGACTCGAGCGAGGGATAGGGGTTAAGTAATTTCGCGCTAATACAGTCTTTGTATAGCAATTGTACTCATTTCGGGCTTGAAAATCAACCGCTTTATCGGGTTGCGTTTTTACTCCATTTCATGGGTACCCTGACTGAGTGTCCGTCTTTGCTGATGTCTGTAGCACGACTAAAAGAAGTACAGTAAGCTACGATCGTACAGTACTGCACACTGTCACTGTACTGTACACTGTACAGTATGCCAAATTGCCAACACTACAGTAGTCCGCTACCGTAATGTACTGTATAGTACAGAAAACCCAGCCGGACGGACATACTTCTCCTCTATCCAAATAACCGTGAGGTACTTACAGTACTGTACTGTACTGAGTACGGTCAAGAAGAAGTCGACCATGTTCGGTTCATGCGCAGTTTGACTCGCAATCGACTTGGAGTCCAGCCGTGCCTTCTGACTATACTGTACTAACTGTAGTACGAGCGTTTGATACTGTAGTACTGTACTGTACTGTAGGGGTACGGTACACTTTCAACAGCGCTGATCTGCACTCTGCAAGCGACGTTTCTTTGCTGTATCTACACATCACCGTCGCCAACTGAAGGCCTACGCAAGCGGCAGAAATTTGGGCGTACAACGCAGTTATTATTTTTGATTCAGCCTGGTATCTGATCCAGTATGATTTTACTGGAAATTGAAAATAAAATTGTAGAAACTACTCTTAAGAGTAGGCTAAACAGGTTAGCAAAGTAGCTTCAAATTGAAATTCCTTTCAGTGATGTAAAAGAAGGCAATCACTATTTTCGATTCTATTAAACGACTCTATTTCACAGTGTGTACAATATTATAGCGCAAGACATACTACGATACCATACTGTAGCTAGTGGGATATGTGAGAAAATAGGACGATTGCTGCCCTTGCACTCTTCATGCAATCTTGACTTGCCTCTCTTCTTTCTCCATGCTACACTAATACTTCTAGTTATTATTGACTCTCCACATTTCCCACCAAGTGGGTAAGGTTACAATCTCTTTAACTTACTGAAGCTACTACAGCATTTGTTGCAGTGCTTTACCGATCATGTAACTGTCGAAAAAGAGCATGCTTCATAGTCAGCAATTCTTGATCGAGCCATTTTCTACATTGCAAGGCTATCGAGTACGGGCGCCTACTCTCTTCTCTTTTTTTTTCCAAGTGCGTACAAGTATGTTGACAACATACTGTACAGTCCCTATGTACACTCATTGAAAGTAATGGAACGTGCTAGTTTATTAAATTATAAAATAACTTCAAGCGATTGTCTCTTTTATTCTTGCTTGAAGTATACCTCCCATTCTACCACGGAATGGACGATACGAATTCAGTTGCTGTATATTTGTATAATATAATAAGTGCCCGGAATTTTTGAAAGAGTACATAAACAAAGTGGCACTGCGTAAACTTGATTTCACGGCAATACGCGTAGGAAACACGCTGCTGTACAGTATGCTGTATTGGACATACATATAGACAGTAGATCAGTGCCACTAGACTACGATGTGTCCTCAATCTTTAAATAACTCTTACTAATAATATTTTACCTTGGCATCAACAGTCAAAAGCCTGACGCCGTCGATCAAACGGTTGCTGGTAAGTTGGTAATACACTAAATTTAGCAATATAGACTACACTTTACTACAGCAAATTTTCTACAACTACCTAGCTATACTACACGGTATCATCCATATAGGCATATACCAGTTATCACTTCATGCTATATACTGAGTAATTAATAAATCGCTACCTTCAATGTCATAAAGTGTAACCACATAATGCATCTATGATTATGGACTGTTCCATAATTGATTTAGCCATTGCTACAAATTCCTTGTTAACAATTAATTAAATGAACAATTAAATTTTATTTTAGAATCTCTTCATACTAATATTGTAGTTAGCAACCTCTAGTCCATTAGTTATGCTCATGAAATAGACTTTTGAGATCAATCAAGTAGAAGTAAACCAACTTGCAAGCGATTTCTAACCATATTCATCCTACTTCTATCAATAGACTACGATGGCGTGGTATTTCATATTTCAAATCCAGGCCGGGATAAAAGTAAAATAATGGTTAGCATTTCTATAAGATCCTATGCTCAACTTCAACAACATGGCGTCGATGAGGTAATTCTAAGATTAGTACTAACGGTAACGAACTTGCTTTCACAATGTACTGACTAGTGTGCTAATGGCACTAGATCATGATAGAATGGATATAGCGATCAACTATTACAGTAACATCATTAAACACAAAACCGAATGGTAAATGTTTTCCTTATTTCCATAGCATCTGGCTACAATATACGGCAACTACCTAACCACCCCGGAGGAAGGTATGCAAAATATTTCTATTAGCCCTATAGCGCAATGCCAGTTGCTTACAAATCTTCATTCTGAACCTGTTCAGGCTATGATGTATCTCTGTTGTTCGATTTGGAAAATCTTTCATCCGATAAAGGTATAACGAATATGTATTTCAAATTACTACATCTTGTTTATAATAGTTAAATTCTTACCTTCGTCTCGACTCAAATTTTTCTAGATATCCTCATAAGAAATGCTAGCCTCTTGAAGCGAAACTGTGTAGCTTGCGTGTTTGAGAAATACTTTGATTTACAAAAGCAATACGAAGATCAAGGAGTACAGAGTAAAGATTTTGCAATTATAAACTATCGCGAAGATGAGACACTGTAAGTTTCCCCGTATGATACCTGTGTACATTATTAATGGTTACAGTATATCTCTGAATCTAAATCCGGTAAAACCCTTCTTAGTTATATCCAGGCGCAGAAAGATCGAGTTGTTGTGATTTTTAGCACTCTTTTCAAGGATGAGAATGATATCATTATTGGTAAAGTTTTCATGCAGGTATTCCGATATTGAATGAATTACGCAATAATCAGATCACTAACTAGCATTTGATGGCTTGGTAGTACTCGTATCGCAGTTTCAATGATAGCTTGTCAATTTTCTATATCATAATACATTGATGTACCTCACTTCGAACGACAGGAATTTAAAGAAGGAAGGCGTGGTCGCCAAGAAGCTCCACAGGTGCTGTTTAGCCATAGAGACCCTCCACTTGAGCTACGTGGCACTAGTGCTCGTATTGGAGACAACGTTGCTTACATCTCATTTGGTAGGTACATTGATCTAGGCTTCCGTAAATTTTGATCAAAACTGACTTATATGCCGTTTATTTGTAGTTCTTTTTCCTAGACATACAAATCCCAAAAATCGCCAAAATACAATCAATGTAATTCATACTTTCCGAAATTATTTACATTATCATATCAAATGCTCAAAGGTAAGCGAGCTCTTAATTATACACATTACTAAGCATAAATCTATCAATTAACGATCATTGTTACTGAGGTTGACGAGTCACACACATCATGGTTACATTCTCCGATAGTTGTATCACAACAAATTTTTAATAACGGTATATTCACATTCCACCACTACCATTCTATTAGGCGTACCTACATTCTCGGATGAGAGCTCGCACCGAGGATTTCTTGAAAGTTCTTAACCGAGCCAAACCTGAGAAAGTCTCCGAAAAGAAAACTATAAGGTATTGTAAATTATTGCCATTTATTATTCCATAAATGCACATATTCATAAATCGCGAATAAGTAATGACTGAAAATTTAATAATTCTTCTCAGTGGCAAGACTTTCGTTAGGAGATAAATTGCAAAGATGACTGACAAGTGACAACAAAGTAATGTTCCAAGCACTGTAGCTTTTGCAGATGTTGGTTAAGTCACTGGTTACATCGTAAGCCAATGTGAAACGCACGCGTCTTCAACCTTTAAAGAATTTTTGCTATGTTCATTAGATAAAGTCAGAAACTATCAGATATGTTTAAAATAAATCGGTTGGCCTTCATCAGTTATTGATTTTGTGATAAGTTTGTATAAGATTTGTGATATATTTCATAATACATCTATAAAATACATTTGTTATTTTTCAAGATTATTGTAATAAAATAAAATAAAATGTAATACTCTATGGTAAAGATTTCATTGCTCATCCTTATAGTTATACTACTATTTTAGATGCTTTTGCTGATGACATCAGAGAGAAGTGAACCATTTTATACGATAATATACAAGTATGCGAGTGTTAAAAATAGCAAGGAAAGCTGCAAAATCCTAGCACAATGATATTTCGTATTAGGCCCGATACCTTCCTTCAGTTATTGTATATATTTCACTACTTACGGGCATACACCTATGAATGGAATCTAGAATTGCAGGCCATCTGAACCGCTTTGGTGCCTGTAAATGTTAATGAACTTAATAACAGAGTCTCTCTTAAATTTGATCATACACACGATGTATAGCTCCTGCATGGCAAGATTATGTTCTGATACGCATGGAGATACAATGAAAGTGAATTGTGTAGCGCAGATACTGTGCATACCCAATTACCCATATACGCTAGACCCCCCTCTGAAATATACGTATAATTATCACAAACTCGATTACAGTGCGAATAATCTCTTTTATACACCTGTCAAGAAATTTTGTGCAATTCCATTCAACTCATAGAGATAAGATAAGAATTAATCAAGTCTGTAGCTTACTTGAGTCGGCCCTGGAGAAAAAGCGAAGAATAGGTTGTACTACCGTGGGCCTAGTACAGTACATAAAGATTTAGATTCGTTCCCATTTAGTATCGAAATTACTAATATGCGCTACATTAGAACGGAGTGCTGACGTAGTACGATACAATTCCTTGGAGCCGTGAAATAGTATAAAGTCATCAATAAAGCAAAATAATATAATATACGCGTACGAGCAGACTACCCGCGGCTGTATTTCACATTAGCGGTTACACATATTAAAGTAATTTTTTTGTTGGTAATTCCTTTTGTATGATACGATTCCTTGATAACGTGAAATGGTATAAAGTCATCCATAAAGCAAAATAATATAATATACGCGTACGACCAGACTACCCGCTGTATTTCACATTAGCGGTTACAAATATTAACGTAATGTTTTCGTTGGCAATTCCTTTTTGCTTTGATTCTATAGCTGTCGTGTAAGAAACCTTCTTTTCTTTTATAGTAAAAAGGATATATGCTTCCTTACATATTATTCGATCGAATGTTTATTTCGAACGGGTGTCGCAGTTAGTAACATACGCTCGTATATATAGATATTTATATTTTCGAGGCGCTGAGACCTTATTTTCAGCACTGTATCTGATGCCAGTATCGTTTTGATTACGTACACTATATAAGTCGGGCCTAATGATGGTATAACGCAACACGATTTTGTAAAATCACTTTCATAGCTTATGACGATAGTAACTTTAAGACCGCAAAAATTGCATCGACCACGCTGCTAAATGGCCCAACGACTATTAATACGAGTATATACACGTCGCCGTACTAACTTTTACGCTCTTAAGGTCATTAACTTGAATAACTAATAGTAAACTATAATTAGCTGCTTCATTTCTCTGAATGCATAACACTGACTATTACAATTACAGGGCGAGACAACAATCTCTGCGGTGAAATACCCGCATGAGCCCATTTCTTGTACTGTACGTAGACTATAAATCACTATAGAAAATGGCTTTATTTCGACCGAATGCGAGAATTATTTTCACTGTTAACGTTCCATTCATAAACAAGTATTGCTAATTTTAAAGTAGATGAAATGTGAGTTGTTAATTTAATTTCAAATCGGATTATAGCGGTAAAGCACTAAAAGGCACTTTGCATATTTTCTTTAAAAAATGAATAATGGTTAGCAGCGTCGAACGGTATTTTTATCCATTTTAGTCACACGGCTGTTTTTCGTCCGGTACCATGCTACTGTCAATGCTTAGCCCGCTGCTGGATTAAAGTTCAAGAACATGGCCAGGTACCGTTATGAGCTTTAGCATTTTACGTACATATACAGTACGCTTATAGCGTTAAGGTACTCATTACTTTGATTTACACTGCTGTAGATTCTCGATTCAAAATAAGCATTCGGGCCTGATACAACTCTGTTTACTGTTAGTTTGTTACCGGGAGCAGGTTCCACGCACACTTTTAGAAATACGTATGCAAACTACAGTATACATACAGGCTGATTGTACTAGTCATTTTAATTAATTAATTGTGTGGTAAAGTCGTTAAATGGAGTGAAAACCCGAACCCGATCCAATTATTGTATTGATTTTCAAAGCCGAGATGAATGCAATCGCTATACAAACACCCTATTACCACAGGAATTCTTAACCCGAATCCCCCTCCCCTTGATTGGGATCCAAATCAAGGTTTCGGGTTGACTTTTGTTGGTTATGTGAATCCCGGAGTTGGCATTCAGAAAGTGTGGCGGCTCTGGGCCACCGTACAGAAGACTAGTGCGGTACAACAGCGTCCGCGTCGTTGCACAACAATCAGAGACTACTGTACTATCCAAAATTTTGCCCCTTCGCTTGGAAGGGTTTTAAAAGGGGCATATTTTAATTATAATTATCCCCTAACTACTACATTGTACTTTTTAGTACCACAAAGAGACGGTGGCACATTTCTCCAATCGAACTCACGAGGAAACAGTAGCAATACGGTAGATTCATTAATTACGACTGAGAGTCCTTTCTTAATTAAGGGAATGATTACATGCCCACTTGAAAGATCTACGTATAACATGAAGCCATACAATGAGATTGAAAGATTTCGATTGTTCCAATCATGCATCATCGATGGCTTTAGCACAGTTTAATACTACTAATAATGATTCATTACTTCTTCTTCTAATATAGTAATGTAAACTGGTTGACTATATGACTCAAATAAACGCTGTATGCATAACTATTGTTGGAGGAATGTTCTAGTGGAGTAATGCGTATTGTCTTCAAATATTGGACAATGTCAACTATTGTCCAAGCAACATCTTTCAAGTCTGTAATTTTGTAAGAGTCATAAAAGAGTAAGTTTTAGTCTACTACAATAGATGAAGTCATCGATTTAGAGAAATGAAGAATCGCCAGAAGGACAACTGCTGCTAAGTAGAATAGTACGAAAGCATGCATTCTCAGCGCTGCTTCCCTAGAGTACTTCTTCATCAATAGAGAAAATATCATGAAGGCGGAAAAAAGCCAAAATGGCAATTGAATTCTAATGTGGGTAATTTGTAAATCAACTTGCAGACTCCGATTTATCATCGACAAGTACCACTATCGGATTTAATTTGAACCTTTGCTGATAGCACTATCAGTGTCGAGTCAGAATAGAGTATACAGCAAATGATATATAAATTACTGTATTTCGTGTGTCTAAGATGAATACAATAGAAGAAAGGAACTGCAAGTTAGGCTTTCTGGCCGTCAACACTTGAAATGATGAAATTAAACTATTCTATTAATTCTAATAATTCAATAAGCGATATGAGTAACGATGTTAATTTGCTGTACAATCAATAGCCTATGGTTTTAATCACTGCATACTATTCATCATACTGTAATAGTTCAGTAAGAATAGCATGATATAATGCCTCTATTCTCTACCATTCCTCGAACGAGATCATCGCGCATAGAAAAATGTTATGTATCATTGTCTTACGATTTGTAAAGTGACAATAAAAAATGTCATAAAACGGTCTACAAAACCAGTTGATGAAGTTAGTACCTTATGATAAAACGACAAACATTCCCTAATAATACATCGCCTACTCGAAACGATGACTAGAATAACCATAATGGATCTATTTAAAATTAAAAAAAAAAAAAATGAGAAACGATCGGCATTGAAATCGTATATTGCCAAGTGATGGCCATGTTTTCAGGTGGTCTACTTCGAATCTAAATAGAAATTGATTGAATATACTTTAGTAATTAGCGCTAAATAGAAATAACTCATCATCTTTGATTAATCGCTATAAATCCAATGTTTTTTCTATCTCTTATTTGCATAACTGATTTACATGGGAAAAATATTTTCAGTCTGGCGACAGTCGGTAATACAAAGAGTCATCACGTCATCGATGGCTAGGCTTGGCATTGAAGAGGTGCTTTATTTATTGTATATAATCTAATTGAAATTGAAGTACCGCCTCGTTAAAGAAACCCAACCGTCTATCCAGGACTGCAATGGTCTATCACTAATTGTCTACTATTGTTTCATTATTATAATAATTATTCTTATTTTTACTGACTTATCAATTTGAATCTACCCCTAACTGATTGTTGCACTGTATACTAAAGCTATTTTTTCAAGCTGCCTCGGCGTATGTATATCAATTCTTATTCTTTTCTCGACATTCTATCTCTCTTACTCAGTAGTTGTGCTTCCTTATCTTTATTTTAGTCGATCATAGAAGATTATTCTGTAACGACTGGCTATAGTACTTGTAACTAGTATCTGTTTGCTATTTTGTAAGCAGCGTGCGTCCTTGGAATATTAGATCAAAGCATTTCACTTGTACCGTAGAAAGCAAAATCGATTCAGTATTCCGTTAATTATTCATCTATCAAATACGGTAAGACATTATTCTATAATTTCAATTTAATTTGTGAATTGTTTATGGAGGCGATATCATTAAAATAAAATTGATTCCATTAACGTAATCGACTTTTATAGTGGAAAAAAATTTGAATTAATGCGCAACGTGGATATTACTCTTCCGTTTATTATTCCCATATTATTTTTTCATCAACTTTGGATTAATTCTGTTTGCATTAGTGCGTTACTACCATAATTTAACAACTTTTGTTTCTATAAAGAATGTCTCATTTCACCTTTACAAGCGTCTACATTCTAGTCGTTAATCGTTACTTCAAATCGTCCTCAAATGGGACATAAAACAACAAACGCCTTCAAAATTGCAAAGTGTTGTCACCCAATAACATCAAAATGTCCCCCTACTTTTACACTAGATAACGTCAACAGCGATCACTTGCCCATTCATTTTCGCTAATTTTATTATAGTTAACATCCTGAAATGCTTAATCAAGTTTTAAAGACGATGTCATTTTCATTGATGCTATGTGAAATTTAAGTGATCTAGCTAACTCACTAGTCATTCTTCAACATCTTACCAATGCGATATTAAACGAGAATCATTCTTTTGGTTAGAGTGTAGTATTTTTCAAAGTAGCACCTTAACAGTTAACGCTTATTGTATTACTCTACTATGGAGCCTACAGTAGTAGAGTAAATGAACTATAAAGTTGACAGTTGACATTTAACCTATTTGTACACAAACATTACATTAACAAGCGATAAAATATAGAATATTACATGTTGTACAGTATATCGAGCACAAGCCGTCGATGATCAAAACGTTGAAAATGATTAAACTATCTGACGCTCTGTACCATATTGGTATGGGCTAACGCCTATGAACAAATTGAAAATTGTGCATATCGGTACTTTTATACGCTTTACTATCGGTAGACACTGATTTTACCATCAAAGACTACCCGTATATTGACTATAGAGTTCAAGTATACTGTAAGCCACAAGAAATTGTTACACATTGACGAGACTGCTTGTAATAGACGATGCTCGATATTGTAGAACTCCTAAAACGCTTTGTTCTCGACTTATTCTGTATATTATAGCGGAATAGTGAAAGGAGAAAAGCATTGTGTTCTTTAGTATTTAAATAAATTATATGCGTAGTATACTAGAATTTTTCAACTAATAGAAAGTCGTATCATATTTTTATTTTTTTGGCATTAGAATATCGACATCTATCCAATAGTTTACAATGATTTTTATTACCACCTTCACCCTTGAATTTACGTAGTGTAGGCAATACTGTAAACTTTAGTGTAGAGTATAACCAGAGCGGGCAAGTTAGTTATCATGCCTTGAGAATACGCCATACGATATCGCGATAAAACGATGATTGCTAAAGCATATCACTAAGCCTTCATTTTACATTACTCAATTTAATGCTACCAATCCGTCTTTAACGTTGGTGTTAAGAAAGATACTGGTAATTACATCATATCCGGTATGATACGTAGTAAATCTCTTAATAAAATGAACCTATTTACGAGTTTGCAGAACTACATCGATTGATAATCCAGAGTTTTACTAACTTCATATCTTACGCGTATACTCTAATTTTTTTGCATATTGATCAACTTTGAAGGCAAATTTTTATTGACATAACTTTTCGATAAAGAATACTTGAGTGGACGCATCAGTAAATAATGACATATTTTATTGTCAAATAAATACAAATGATCAAATAGTTCGATTTACACTTCCTACAAGAATAGCTATAAATTGCGGTAGGATATAATTAGAGGGTATTAGCTTGATGAATAGGAAAAGGTCGATATCTTGTCGACTAAAAAGGCAATATAGTTAAAATCATCAAATAGTATTTGTAAATATTTTACTGCAAAAGGAAAGCAAACAGATTCACCCAAATATAAGACAATCACCTAGATTAAACACTATCAAGATTCATAGCCAGAAGCCGGTAGTTACTATATAGGAAAGTAGTTCCTTTTTCGTTATACCGTACGGGAATATTGCATAATATAATGATTGCATTAAGCAATCCAGCGATTTCGTTACCAATAGTAAAAACATGAGCTAGGAATTTTAGTGCCATAAGCAATTGTCATTCATACACTCGTCATCGAATGGATAGCTTTTTGAATGATACCTACCTTAAGGTCAAATAGAAACGATTGTTTCAGGAGCCTCTTTTAATATACAGTACTGTAGGACATACAGTATCGACCTTTTAATACATTTACTAAAAAAAATTTGATTTTAACGCTGCCATATGTTTAATATTTTACGTGTAAACATATCATTGTAGTGGGTTAAAGGTATCCTAAATATTAATCCATCAACAATGATAACATTATGATCGGAAATTAAAAGTATGAAAAATGTATCATGTTGTAGTCGGCATAAATAAATTAAATTTTAAAGAATCAGACCCGACTTTCAAAGATCGCAATGTAATTAGTATGATCAAAATGATATGTAAATAAATTATACATAAAATAAGGAATGATATTTGCAATAGTTTAGACATTTTTTTGTTTGTCTTTGATTATACAGCACATTTCATTACAACTGTAGATGTAAAATAAAATTATTAGATAGATAAACAGTTCTTACGCTCAGATGATAATTACAATACATTAGTGTAAACTACTATATTTGCCTTATATGTTATACATAAAAATCTAAACGTTAATGTGTCGTGAGTAATAACATAATTACAGCGAGAGTAAAGCATTCAAAAGTAGGAGATCATATTTTATTTAAGGCATGCTGTTGATCACTATCTAGTAATACGGAACACTAAATACTGATAAAATGGCGATTTACAAAGACAATGCGATACGACTATAATATATTTTCGCAAAATATATTACCCAATTTTAATCTTTAGATCAACGGAAGCGTGATACGCACTAGTATCATAATATAATGTTTAGTTTATGGTATCCTGTACATTACTATCCACAATAAATCTGTTACGCGTGATTTAATGAACTAGTTCACGACAACAACAACAATTAAAAGCAAAACAAATAAAAAATACGTAGAGATGATTACTACATTCACAATTCTTCTTTTACTTTATAATCAGATGAATTTAATGGCATAATCTGAATGAAATAAGCAATTTACTAATCACTAACAATATCCCAGTCTTACATCAAAGTTTATCGGCTAACGTGTACGTATACAGTAGAGTGAAACTTCAGACATAGAACAAATATCGTAAAATACATGACTGATAGTGTACTATTCAGTATTATACACTTTCTGGTGCGATTATAGTATCAAATTCTAATCAATATGTACACTAAAGGGTCAAAATTTTTCATTTTTCTTCATCTTCTTGCGATTAAACTTACTAACATTAGCTTCCCAAGACGACTACGTAAACCTCTATAAGCATACTTTACAATCAATACACGTACTTTTATATTTAAAATTGATACAGTAAATTAAAGCTTCAAATCATTCATAATTGATTATTATATAATGATTTGATTGAATGTATTTAATTTCTGGGCTCAACAATAGACTACTTCTTATTGCATCGCTAATTTAAAGAAGTCAATAGTCAAGATAGCGCTGATTGAGAGATTAGACAAAATATAGACAAAAACTGTAAATTGGAGTATTGGGATATCTATAGTCATGGGCGGCGTACTACATTATCGCCGTCTTGAAATAATAATAATGGCCTAAGAAAAATTTACACGTGCATTAAAATGTAATGAATTAATTGTCCCTATTTCATTTAACTGTGGACAGCATAATTGATGCTATCTAGTACTCCAATATGCGCGTATTTCTAACTACTGTATTCGCATATAAATTCGCTTAAAAGTTTAATTGCACGACACTCTAATGCCGGAAATGAAGAAGGAAAATTACCGATACTATGTAGTCATTGTAGTCAAGATAGCTGTATGCGTAGTGAGTCAGTTAATTTTTCTTTGAATAAGAAAGATTACAAAAAGAACTGCAATTATATCACAAAGCATTCAGTATGTTATAATGCGGTAAATACATAAAAATTTAACGGTATTCCACTAATGCAAAATCTACAGCTTAAAAGAATAATTTTAGTAATCGCACAGTAGGACTAGTTTCGATTTCTGCCATTATAATATACGGATAGTAAGACTGTCACAAAGTTTTTGCATATTCTACCACTGTTAAACCTTAAAGTATCATGATCGGTATAGTTTGTTTTCCAGTATTTATCATCATTACTAGTACACGCATATTTCGATAGAAATCTCTCTCTTTACTTACTCTTAAAAACTTACAATATCTGAATCGTTGACTAACTCTACCATCTTGAGCAATACTATTTATATATAATTAAAGTTAAAGTATCATAAGTTATAGATATTGTTCCGTTTAAGTAATTTTTTGCATTCATTAATAACGTATGCATCTTTTCTATCACCTATAGCCCAACAAAACACATCGACTTTGGCGTTGGACTCTAAACTCATCGCTCCATCATGATTTGGCGTGGATCACTTATGACTGTAGTGTTTTGCCTTCTCTTACCTGGCTACTACGCACAAGGTATACATAGCGATGTTTCATATGCTACTATACAGTATACGCGTATATCTAATTAGGTTCAGTATTCTTATACACTATACACTATTATATATTTGGCAATATCTATTATATTATTATTATAGTTTTAAAATTGTTACGGTAAGAAAAGGGTATTACTTTTAAACAAATTACATGATGTGAATACAAAGTATCGTAAGAACTGATCTATATCACAATCAATGATTACAATAATAATTTTAGAACACTGTGGAAAAAAATTTATATATCTATAAACCATATTAATCAAAATAGATATTATGAATACGTTCCAAAAATATTTACTACGATAATGTTAATATCGTTCTCAATTTCGATGTTTTACAGAGTACTACGAATTTACCACACATCCAAGCAATGTCTACCTTGCAGGAGGCGTACCTCAAGTTGTGATGTCTTGCAGAGCCGCACCTGTAACAGGCTTAACTTGGACTTATCAATGGCGACTAAATAATGATTATCTTTCTGCCCAACAAAGAGGCAATGCTAGATTCACCGGATTTAACAGTAATGAGCTTACAATAGGATCCGCTACTAGCGATATTTACGATACCACTCTTTTCGGTAAAGGTAATAATTTCACATGTGTGGCAACCAATAATAATGGACCTATAACGTCAAGAATCGCAAATATCTTCCGTGTTGGTAAGTTACACCCATAGAAATAACGTTTAACTCTTATATAACTTATATGCCATACGGTACTCGTATTTAAAACGCTATCATAAGGAATTAACATAATAATATTTCCGAATTTATTATATACCGTACTAAAATATCAGATATTTTCAGGTAAACCATTCTTTCAAGGAAACAGTAAATTAAACAAAGAAGCTACCTTTTTAGCGGGTCAAGCTACAAGTATCCAATGTGGTGACACAAAATTTCCGGAAATTCCTATCACCTTATTGTGGCATTACACGAGAAATGAATTACGCTTTAATCCATCATCCGATGGAAGAATTGCGATCGCCTTAGATGGCACTCTATATTTCGCTAACTTACTTGTTTCTGATGCAACGCGTTATCGTTGTGGTGTAAGGCCTACTCAACCAATCACAAGTACAAATATATTTTTTTCAGGAAACACAACATTAGCTATACAGCCAAGAGGTTAGTCTAAAATAAATCAAGTTACACCTCGAACAGCGACTACATCTTTTAAAATTTCTTTAGTACTTCGATGCTCTAATTACTATTAACGTAGTAGCAGCAGTTGTCAAATATTACAATTTATACATAAATTATTCCAGACATACTAATATAATGTAGAATTTTAATTTCTAATAGTCATCAAACGTTGTACTTTTTTCAAATAATACATTTTTATTATTGTACTTGCAATTAATATTTACTAATCTATAACTTGTAAATTTTAATCTATCCTTTTCGTAAATTTTTCATCACAGTTTGCACCGGTCAATTATGTGGTAAGTACACAAATAGTTCGATATGATATTGTGTATTACTTGTCTTTTATTATGAGCTTTTACTTTTTAAGCTAAGTAATATTAACTTACATACTGTATAATATCGTAACAGATTTTGGTCCAGAATTGCATAAAAGGTCCGGTAATGTGCAAGCAGTGATCGGTTCATCGATTACCTTAGAATGTATCCCCAAAGGAAGGTATCTATTGATAATACGGAAATCAAAGATGTATAGCTGGGTTACTCGCTCAATCATGAGGCCTATTATGAAATGTAGTAGTTTTCCTTTACATAACATTTAACAGTTATTAAATTACAGTGTAAACTTATTCATTACGTCGTATCTAAACTCAAGAATTTCAATTTACTATTTCAGACCAACTCCTATTATCAGCTGGTGCTTGTATAACTCTAACACTCAATTATGCAACAACATCCAAGCATCATCTAAGTACGCTTATAGTCAAGCCAGTAATAGGCTAACTATTAATAATCTCATTCCTCAAGATGCTGGAACGTATAGATGTATAGCAAAAAGTATAAAATCTATACAATGGGATAATGTCTTACAAGTCGATCGTAAGTTAGATTTTGACAAGATTATAATTATCTAGCAAAGCTGTCCAAAATAATATATTGTGTTAATTGACAATGAGGATTGCTTCGATTTTTAATTTAATAGCAAAATTGACATGGATAACAAGGTTTAGATCAATGTCTGCTTCAATCGAAGATACTGTAACTTTTCCTTGTACTGCATATGGCACGCCGCCATTAAAATATACGTGGTATAAACAAGCCATTAAATTTCCCCTGACTAATAGTCGATTCATTATGTCGAGTACAAGTGGAAATTTAACAATAAGAAATCTATTAAGTAATGATACCGGCGTTTACCAATGCGTTGTTGAAGACAGATATAACAGAATTGCAAGTGGAGGATACTTCGAAGTCAAAGGTTAAATATTAGCTTATAGCTATCTTTACAATGATTAGCTGTAAATCTACTTAGTTAAAAAGTTGAAGGTTATACTGTATTTTGATATAATAAATTCTCAAAAGTAAATAAGTATGCTAAACTGTTATTTAGTCGATCCGTATATTACTTATTGAGATAAAATTATATCGGTAACAATTCAGTACAGTACTATTAACTTTCTTATTCACTTATATAGTAGTCTTTAAATCGTTATCTTGCTTAGTCTATGTTCTCTAAATTTATTCTACTTTGTTAAATTGATATAGTATTTGCAGCCAGATTTACTGAGACGATGCAACAACAGCAGATTATTCAAGTTGGTCCATCAGCACAAGTAGTATGCCCAATTGACGGAGGTCCAAAACCGACCATTGATTACTTCTTTAACGGAAACCAGATATCATTGTTGGGCTCTAATAAATATGAAAGATTACGAAATGGTAATTTATTGGTTAAGAATGTCGTCTTAGCAGATGGAGGAAACTATACTTGTAGAGGAAGAAATCGATATAATCCAGTGAATACCTACGTTACTGGTTGGGCAAGGGCTCATGTTTACCGTAAGTTAACCCTTATGCTATGACGTTTTCTGATATAGATTACAAAAGCTATCAATAATTTAGATAGTATTATTTTAAAACTTCCGTTTAAGCTAATACAATACAATCCTATATAATTCAGTAGATATTCATCTTGATCGTAATCTCATAAGATCTATTAAAATTGTTATTTTTCATTTTCGATAGTTCTAAAATCAGATCTAATCAATTCTATATATATCTTACCGACAAATATCCTTTCATCTCATTAGTCTTATCCTTCTTAGTATCCGTAAAAATATTACATCATATTTCTTGCCTATTGTTTTTAGTGTTTAACAATTAATTGACGTAGTCAGAGAGATTGTAAGACTTGATACGTATTTAACCCTATTTTTTAACAAATATTCTTAAAGCTACAACTTCTTATCCATGCAGTGATAGTTTATTAAGACTTCTCTACAGTACTTTCATTCTCATCTATATCCGATAACAAAGTATAAGTTCGTATGAGAAAGATACCTTGAAGACATTACTTGAGTAGATTGTACTTTAAAGAGCTCTTAATTGAATTGCTCTAACGTTTACAGAAGCGACTAAAATTCTGGAAGGTCCAACTACCCGAAGCTATCGTATTGGCTCTACAGTAACTATCCCATGCAATGTTACAGCTGATTCTAGAATTAGGAATGCGGTTACAGTAGTATGGCAAAGGAATGGTCAATCTATACAAGCTTCATCCAAATATGTACTACGAAATTTATATCCTAATTACGCCTTGACTATTAACAACGCTCAAATCGCAGAAAGTGGAAATTACTCATGTAGAATGACTGTTGATGTCGCTCAATTACCAGGAAAAACAATTACTGATACTAAAATTGGAAACATAGCATTCAATGGTAAGATTAATAGAGAAAATTCACTGAATCAGCCTAGATATTCTCAGTCATTATATTGAATAGTACCGTATACGTTAAGTAGCGATATAAGACGATAGCAAAACATTAAGATAATTACTATTCGTAGCAGTTGACTTTTATTTCTGTTCTTAGCTGTTCCACTACCTCCTACTCTTGCTTCTGGAAGATTAGTAAATAGCAGTATGCTATTTCTTAACTGGACTTTCGCAACCGATAACGAAAACAATAGTCCTTTGAAAAAGTTTGTCGTCCAATTCAGATCAAACTATATCTCAACTATTCGAACACTTTTGGAAATACCCAACATCAACCAACGAAGTACCTTCATAACTCCATCCCCATATATAACATACACTTTATACGTAGCTGCAGAAAACGGCGTTGGCCTTAGCCAAAGGAGTAATCAATTACAAATTAGAAATCCTAATACAGCTGGTACGATTAATATAATAGTTACTCCTCTTATGACTATCATCAATTTTTTAATTATATCATTTACGCGTATAAAACGACATCTAACAAATAGTATAACAATGTGCTAAAGTTACTGTTGTTAATTCTTAAAAGCCATTTTATCGATAACTTTTTTCAATAATGAGCTCACTAACACAAAGTAATTTCATTTTTAGTTCCTACCGACGCACCTACTAATCTTTATACGCTAGTCAATTCAGCAGATTTAACAACATTAACCGTTTACTGGACAGTAAGTTATTTTTAATATTTCTAGGTTTCTCACTACGTTTATATCTGTTTCAACTATATTTACATTAATCTTTGATATAGTTACTTATCATAGTTTCATATAAGATAGGTGCACGTTTTCGTTAAAACTAGTCAAAAATTTAAATAATAATATCTAATTTATTTTCAGCCACTAACAGGTGAACAAGCTAATGGCCCAAACTTAAGGTATCTGTTAAGATACAGGAAGAGTAATACTGCCAACTCTTATAAGACCATCGACGTAACCGGCTCTAGTTACACAATTTCCGGATTAGAAGCTCGAGTTAATTATGATTTCGATCTTCGAGCGCGTAACGATATTGGCCCAAGTGCAGTATTTGCTTACTATCTCGGATGTACATGCGAACAAAGTAAGAAAACTGTACACCTTGCTTCTTCTAATTTATGATTAATTAGATAGTACCAAGTTATTCTCTACTAGTCTTTTATAATAAAATTTAATTTCGTCTTGATTAGAAACAAGCATAGTTATTCAAGTAACTAAGTTATTGTTAACCATTAATACAATTATTATCGAAAACTAATGTTAATTAATGTATCTATATACTTTATACTGATGATATCAAGGGCCTGTCGGAATACCATTCAATGTAACCGTAGTAGTAACAAATGCAAACATCGTTATTAATTGGTTACAAGTACCTGTGCATTTGCAGGGCGGAAAAATCACGGCTAATCGGGTAAAATACTAAACAGAGTCCTATTGTGTTATCACTATAGATATAAATTAATCAAATGTACTAGATCTTACAAATCGCGGGTATACCTATACATCAATTATTTAGTAAGCTAAACTGTATTCTGTCAGTCAATAACGTTAATAATTTCTTATATTCGGAATGAATGTATGTATGTATACATACGCGTACTTACACAAATCGTTTATACGTACATGCTAAACATCGTAGTAGATAGTAGAAATAAACTTACTACAAATTTAAAAATAAATTTCGAATACTAAGAATATTTACGATTTAACTTTTTTATATTACAGGTTAGATTAACACAAGTTACTTCTGGAACACAAAATACCATCTTAATCAATTCTACAACTAGTATTACTCTTTACGGTTTAGCACCTAATACTAATTATACCGTTGCTATTAGCGGCAGAAATGCTGCTGGAGAAGGTCCCTTTTCTGTTCCTAAAACCTTTAGAACTGGCAGCATAGGTAATAAGGATAATATATGTATTAGTCTTTACCGGTAATATACGTACAATAGAGAACTTTAACAAATTAAGCTACAAGACGGTATTTTTCTTCTTTTCTCGTACGCTAATTGTAGATACAGCATATAAACCAGTTTTAGGCTTTCCTATTAGCAGTGATATAACTAATGATACTGTTACTTTACGATGGACTATCGTTGGTCAACCGTTTTATTTCCAGCCTCAATACAGACTTTCAAGTAAGTAATGTACCGCAATGTTAAAGTTTTCTATCATTTTAGCTGCTACTTCAGCGATAGCAAAGAAGAACAAATTATTGCTAAACCGAGCTAATTACTACATAAGAAGCGCTTTAAAAGAATTCTCTCTTGTTTGTGACTTTATTTTTATTAGATCAAATATGGATATCTAGTAATAATCTTACAAGGCAAACAGCAAATGTAGTAATAAGAGGACTTCTACCGAATACAGCTTACGAATTCAGAGTTAATGCGATCTATTTTAGCGGACGAAATATATCAAGCGATATCCGAGCTGTACAAACTAAAAGTAAATATAAGATCACTTGTAGTAGCAAGAATGAACTAACTTTTCTATTAGTTAGACGATACAACTATAACCCATACAAGTAGTAATGAAAAATCTATGTATATCTGATATACTTAGCTAGATTGATTCCTTTTTCGCTTTATAGATACTATCGGACAACAAGTTCGACCTTTTTATCAAGAAGCATGGTTTATCATTATTATTGTTATAGCTTGTCTAGCCCTTATTATAGCTATAGCTGTCCTACTTTGCAAAGGCCGTAAGAAAGCAGGTAAATTTCCAGGTTAGTGTGAATGTTGATGATCTTATTATAGTAGCCTACTAGCTTATATGTCTTCTATTACTTTTAAAATTAATCGGCTATTTTTTTCAATTTCTTTGTTTATATCGTATTCATATTAGCAGTTCCAAAAGGCAAACAGTAAGTCAACCTTTTCAAAGTTTTCTTAATTATAGAGTAATTTCGATAGTCTACATTGATTTATTAGCTATTATTTTTCTTAATATTTTCATATGCGCAGACTTTATTCTTTATTAATGTAACAAGAATATTAGAGCTATTATATATTGACGGATTACTACTATTAATGATTTACTGTTAGGAATCCACCCATTCCACCGCCTCCTGAAACAACGAACGAGGAATATGATACCATTAAGAGACCACCTTTGCCTCACCCTCAGACTGAAACAATCCATCATGGAGATGAGTCGTTGCTTGACAATAATAGTATCGATAGCCTTGAACAATATGCTGACTTGCCTGGATTAAGTAAATTTAATGAGGACGGCTCATTTATTGGTGAATATGGCGACAAGGAAATGGACAGATACAGCCAATATAATCATGAAGGTGTTATCGAGCCAACTGGTAGTCAATATGGCGCAGTCCGGGATGATGCAAGCTATCATACTAATCATACTAATCATAAGACCCTTGATGTTGATAATAGCACTACTTTTTCAACTTTTGTCTAATTTCTGGCATAGCTCAGCATCTTCTCAACTAGAATATTTAAATCGTTCAAATTCAGTATTTTATGTGACAGCAAGATTCCTTTTCTTGATCTGCATATTATGCCTATGCAGTATTATTAACTAGTTAAAAGTGATGATAAAATCCATTTAATAATTTTAACATTGTTTACTTGGAAAAGATCAGATCATAGTAATAAGAAAAGAAACAATCGTGGCAAGTTACAATTAATTTAATATTGGATCTAGGTATTCATTTTTTAATCTCTCCAATAATAATCGAATCATAATTCAATAATGTTACTACAGCAATACCGCAAGGTCCTAAGGGCTACAATTAATTCTTGTCACATCAAGTAATCGGTCTCACTCTTATATTCTGAAGTAATCTATGCATATAACAATGTTCATTCATGATTGTGTAAGAACAACACCTACTCGTTGGATTATATTGTAATTTGATCACGTATGGAAGCTTAATACTAGAAAATTATAGAGAATCTATAATTGAAAATCATTGGAATTACGATATAAAGAAATAGATTCTGGAAGATCTTGTTAGAGTAGATTAACTCTTCATTTTTTAGGGATAGAGCGATAACTGAACGGTGATTTTGGACACATTTATAGCTATGTTACTAGCATCTATCGCATATAAATTGAATATATTTCTACTACTAAAAGATTCATTTATACTATTTATTCACTTTTAATATCCTGAATACTCTAAGTCCATAAAAGATCGAATACGAAACCCGCAATAATGTCAGGAAGTAATAATTCATTTTGTTTAATCTGTTAGTTTTGATATTTACTAGCGTGGTGTAATCGCCTGGCATGTATTCACTGGACCATTAACTTTGACTTTATATAATTATAATTGTACTTGTGAAAGGATACATTTGTACAAATATCCTATCTTATTCCTATTGCGGCAATATCATAGCGGGTCTTATTTAATCCAAGTTTATCTATTACCGTATTCATCATTCATTGATTTATCCAACTTAGTAATTTTAAGAAGTTTTCCCTGTATATTGATATTAAAGATAATGATGATATTCAGCTTGCACTTCGGTTGCAAATTGTATGTATGTCCAAAATCTTACGATTTCAACCATCATTACTTATACTAGTATACTTTCATTTTAGAAAGATACTGTGGCATTTTTACTTTAATAGCATTGATAATTTTCAAGATTTGTGTCCGATTTGTTAAATAGAGTAATAAAAGAGACAGAAGTTATGCATTCAATTGTGTGATGACTTTTATCCATTTAGCTAAATAGAAAATTAACATCAGCAGCACAATATTGAATGCTACTTGCAAAGTATAAGTAAGACAGCATAAGTAATCCCTAAATTTATTATTCTCTACTACGGGACTTTAATCTACGTAAGAAGCTTTGCTTAGTGCATACTTTCATAACTCTAGTTATAATGTAGAAAGATTAGATCGCATTATTTCTTAATAAAGGCGATAAAAGTTATCCAATCGATCGTTACGGTAGCTTTCATTAATATACCGAAATAAAAACTAACGTCAAGACAGCATCAGGTACTACTTTCATTTGTATATAAGACAGTAGTAGCTTTACCCATACTTAAATTGATTATATAATATTCTCTACTAAAAGATTTCTTACTTGTACATTATAACTTCTGTCTAGTGGATGCAGTTAATAAAGGCGGTAGAAATTATACTGTACAATCGATTTTTATGATAGCTTTCATTAATTTAGTGAAGTAGAAAACTAACATCAAGACAATATCATGTACTACTTTCACTCGTAACCAAACCTTTCTCAGGTCTAGGTTGTAGCTTTATCTATATTTATATTAAGTATTCTCTACTAAGAAATTTCTTGTTTATACCGTAGTTCCTGACATATAAAGAAACTAGATTACATTTTTCATCGTAAAAGAAATCAAAGTGATACAATCGACTATAAGCATAATTTTATCAATTTAACAAAACAGAAACTCACCATTATCAAGACAATATTGAAAGCTACTTGAATTCTATATAAGACATTACTAACTACCCCTAAATAGATTATTCACTATTACAGAATTTCTTGCTACAAATAAGAAGCTCCACCTGGTGCATGACTTTTATGGTTCTAGTGACAATGTAGAAAATTATATTACGTCTCTTTACGATAAAGATGATAGAAATTATGCAATAGATCATGATAATTTTTATCAACTTAGCAATATATAATACATAGAAAGTTATCATATCACTAAACATCGAACGCAATTGGTGGTATATGGAAACAACGTTAACTACACCTAATTAAATATTCTCTATTAAAGAATTTCTTACTTGCATAAAAAGTTCTACCTAATACGTCATATGACTCTCATAGTTCTAGTAATAGAAAAATTATATCAGGTAATTTCGTCATAAAAGAGATAGAATAGTAAAATCGATAGTTACGATGACTTCATCAATTTAGCAGAAATATCCTATATAAGGTAACGCTAACTGTATCTAAAGTAATTATTTTACAGCAGTTATATAAAAAGCTAAGCGTCGTGAATGAATTCAATAGCTCTATCTGCATTACAGAAAGACTACTCCACTATTATTTCAGCGTAATATTGTGGAATAAAAAAAACACTGTCTTACTAGCCAAATATCTTTCTGTTGTGTGTGAATTGGCTTAAAAATTACTCGCATACCATAAAATGCTACTTTACACTATAATAAATAAGAGCAATATATTTATCTTACTATTCATGTGCTAACTATCACTTTTGTAGACATTAGCTTAATACAGCCCCTATTTGTCGACAATACTACAATGAGTTCTGGAAATATAATAGAGTAATAGAAAGACAACTGTATTCAGAAAACCTAGTACTTTATTATGACTTATGCGAGGCTAGTGTAATCTGTTTTCATTTCGATGCAACAGTTGTTCATTATTTAATCTTATAGTACTCGTCTATCGCTATACTTTATTATACTGCCACTCTGCTAATACTTTCGGTTTTATATTAATCTATCATTATATATCGTGACTATATAAATAAAATATCGTCATCAGTTCTATACCTAATAATTATGTTTCAGATTGATATTGATACTGATAATATAATCTGAATGATAATATCAGTATCAGCATCAGTGCATCACGAATAGTAACCCAGCTACTGCAGTATTATCTTTCAATCGGTATAGTTTAGGATCTAATATAGTTGTATGAAGTTAATATTTTCATTCCTTAACTATTTGTAAAAGAATTAAAGGATAAAGAAATTAGAGGTTATTCATGCGATCTACTTCTATGAAATTTTAAACGAAATCATAGATAAAAATATCATTCTTTACGAGTAACATAATGCAATGTTATAACAGTGTTTTGAGCAATTTTGTACAGCAGTATTTGAAGCATCTGAACTGGTAAATATCAGTTTGCCCAAAAGAAAAATTATTGATATGTACTAAAGACAACATTTCTCAAATCGATGGCCATTATCATCTTTAGTGATAGACGTGTTGAAAGTAATCGCAGTCATCGACAAGTCAAAGTACTGCACTTTTGAGTCTTGTAGTGATGCTCCCCATAGCTGATTATAAAATAGCTATATTCGATATAGTTAGGTTTCTAAGAATAGACGTTATCGTAGTGCTAATATTATTTTAGATGATTGTTAACTACTATATTAAAAATTGTTAATCACTAATATTAGCCAGTTGGCTAATTATGGTACAAGATTTATTTGACTTGATGTACTGTAATTATGAAGATATCCAACACCGAAAGGTGCTAAATATTAATAGAAGAGTAGTGATATTTTAGGCAGAATGACTCAGATTGTAGAAGATAATGATGACCTATTTAAGGAAAAGTACTCTATTTGATGACTCAAGTCTGATTGTAGCTAATTATATTATCATAAGTAGATTTATCAACATGTATTTTAGAGCTGTAGAGATGAGCATAGACATAGACGAGACTTCACTTTGAGCTCGAAATACTTTAGACTAGATTCTTGCTAGTAATTCATTCTTGCTCTACTATTCTTCAACTATGTAATAAAAGCCTTTTCTTAAATTCCCTCTTGACGAAAGTTACAGTACCACAAGGAGACAGTAACGGATTGCTTCAACGGAACCCATAACTACTTAACCCGTGAAAATAAATTAATTATTACTATTTTAAGACAATGACTACTTGCACCACTTGAAAGATCTACGTATTACCTGTAGCTATACAATGAGATTGAAAAATTGCGATTGTTCCAATCATGCATCATCGATGGCTTTAGCACAGTTTAATACTACTAACAATGATTCATTACTTCTTCTTCTAATATAGTAATGTAAACTGGCTGACTATATGACTCAAATAAACACTGTATGCATAACTATTGTTGGAGGAATGCTCTAGTGGGGTAATGTGTATTCTCTGCAAATATTGGACAATGCCAACTATTGTCCGGGCAACATCTTTCAAGTCTGTAATTTTGTAAGAGTCATAAAAGAGTAAGTTTTAATCTACTACAATAGATGAAGTCATCGATTTAGAGAAATGAAGAATCGCCAGAAGGACAACTGCTGTTAAGTAGAATAATACGAAACCATGACTTCTCAGCGTTGTTTGGCTAGAGCATATCATTAATTAAGAAAATATCATGAAGGTGGAAAAAAAGCCAAAATGGCAATTGAATTCTAATGTGAGTAATTTTTAAATCAACTTGTAGACTCCGACTTGTCAGCTACAAGTGCCTCTATCGGATTCAATTTCAATTTAGATCTTTACTGATAGCACTATCAGTGTCAAATGAGAAGAAAGTGTAGAGTAAAGGATATATTATAAATGATTGTAATCCGTGTCTGTTGTGTTGGATACATTAGAAGAAAGGAACTGTAAGTTAGACTTTCTAACCGTTAACATTTGAAATGATGAAATTAAACTGACTTATTAATTCTAATCATTCAATAAGCGGATCAAGTAGCGATGTTAGTTTTCTATATACAATCATTAGTC